TTAGCCAGGATGGTCTCGATCTCCTGACCTCGTGATCCGTCCGTCTCGGCCTCCCAAAGTGCTGGGATTACAGGCTTGAGCCACCGCGCCCGGCAAAAAAAAAGATTTATGATGTAACCCAGAGAAAAAATGATGAGGATCTGAATTAGGGCAGAGAGGGGAGAGAGAAAGAAATGGAGCTGAGAGACCTAGGAAGAAAAACTAAATCATTTGGATGCAGAGAGCTGTTAATAGTAACATTTGCATTTCGGCTTGGGAGACTGGAAAAGAGAATAGAGAAAAAGGTGAAACATTCAGAGTCAGAGAGAAGTGGGAGGTCCAGGTAATCTCTAACTCATTTTGAGACCATGGATAGGTTGATTCGCCCCTCCAGTCATTCAGGATCCTCATCTGAAATGAAGGAGATGTAAGAATCCTTTTTGGGCACTTCAGGCTCTGAAGCACAAAGTTGTGGTTAGAGTTCCATTAGTTTAGTTAGTGCTGTAGCTAAAATGCAATAGTGTTGTTTCTGTTTTCCAGGGCAAATGACACAGCTTTGTGAACTGATCAACAAGAGTGGGGAACTCCTTGCGAAGAACTTATCCCATCTGGACACTGTGCTCGGGGCTCTGGATGTACAAGAACACTCCTTGGGCGTCCTTGCTGTTTTGTAAGGGGCATCTTCTTTTATAGTTTTGTGCTTGTTAAAACCGAACATTCTGCACTTTCTGGCTTTATTTTTATTTATTTATTTATTCAAGACGGAGTCTCAGTCTTAGTGGCGCAATCTCAGCTCACTGCAAGCTCTGCCTCCTGGGTTCTCACCATTCTCCTGCCTCAGCCTCCCGAATAGCTGGGATTACAGGCGCCCGCCACCACGCCCGGCTAATTTTTTGTATTTTTAGTAGAGACGGGATTTCACCGTGTTAGCCAGGATGGTCTCCATCTCCTGACCTTGTGATCTGCCCGCCTCAGCCTCCCAAAGTGCTGGGATTACAGGTGTGAGCCACCGCGCCTGGCCCTGGCTTTATTTTTATTTATTTATTTATTTTTGGTATAGAAAGTAAACTATTGTAAACAACAGTGAGCTCTTTTGCAAAACTGAAATTATAGCAGTTACAGTTTAATCATTCCAACTAATCATTGCTTGTTATATTTTGTTCAGTTTTATCTTTTTTTTTGAGACGGAGCCTTGCTCTGTCGCCCAGGCTGGAGTGCATGTGTCCGGGCACAGTGGCTCATGCCTATGATCCCAGCACTTTGGGAGGCCGAGGCGGGTGGATCACCTGAGATCAGGAGTTTGAGACCAGCCTGACCAATGGAGTGAAACCCTGTCTCTACTAAAAATATAAAAATTAGCTGGGCATGGTGGTGGGTGCCTGTAATTCCAGCTACTCAGGAGACTGAAACAGGAGAATTGCTTGAACCTAGGAGGTGGAGGTTGCAGTGCGCTGAGATCGTGCCACTGCACTCCAGCCTAGGTGACAGAGTGAGACTGTTTCAAAAAAAAAAAAAAGAAAACCTTTATGTTTATACAAACTCTGAAAATTTGTTTTAAAAAATGGCCATCTGAATTGTGGGGACTATAGTTTGCATTTATCTGAGTACTTTTATTCATGTAATCCATAGGATTGTCCACATTTTCTAAATTAAAAAGAAATTCGGAAGAGTACTGCAACAGGGCATGGCAGAATACATTGAATGAAAATATCGGCTGGGCACAGTTGCTCATGCCTACAATCCCAACACTTTGAGAGGCCAAGATGGGAGGATCATTTGAGGCCAGGAGTTTGAGACCAGCCTAGGCAACATAACAAGGCCCTATCTCTGCAAAGAATAAAAAAGTTAGCTGGGTGTTGTGGTACATGCCTGTACCACTGGGTGTAGTGTACATGCCTAGCTTCTCAAGATGCTGAGGTGGGAGGATCGCTTGAGCCCAGAAGTTCAAGGCTTCAGTAAGCTACGGTTAAGCCATCGCACTCCAGCCTGCATGACATAGTGAGACCTTGTCTCAAAAAAAGAAAAAGTATGAAAGGTCCAAAGCAACATTGCTTAGAATTCCCTTCAAACAAATTTAAGCTATTTAAGACCAAATTAAATAGACCTTATTTTAATTGGGGTTCTTTGTAACTGTGTACTTGACAGTAATTCTCTTGATGTTATAGTATTATAAATTGGGATATTGTGGTTGTCATGACATTTGAAATGATATAAATAAACTGAGAAGAAATTGACTTAAAGTGAGAGTCTGGCTTCACTTACACTGGGATTCCTGAGACAAAGGTATGTGTCTGGAGCAGAGTTTAGAGAAGAATCTTTGTCAGAATGGAAGGATCTAGAGTTATGCTCTGCAATATGGTGGCCACTAGCCATATGCAGCTATTTAAATTAAAATTAAAGATTCGAGTGCACTTGCCATGTTTCAAGTACCCAGTAGCCACATGTGGTCACATGTCCTTGTCTTAGCACAGATCTATAACATTTCCACCACTGCAGATAGTTCTATTGGACAGTGCTGGTAAGGATTTCTACTGTTTGTATTTTCTTATTTATATAAAAGAGCAGATGCTGGGCACAGTGGCTCACACCTGTAATCCTAGCACTTTGGGAGTCTCTGTTTGAGACCAGCCTGGGCAACATAGCAAGACCCCATCTCTATGGAAAAAAAAGTGGCCAGGTATGGTGGCTTATGCCTGTAATCCCAGGACTTTGGGAGGCTGAGGTGGGCAGATTGCCTGAGCTCAGGAGTTCAAGACTAGCCTGGGAAGCATGGCGAAACCCTGTCTTTACAAAAAGTACAAAAATTAGGCAGGCGTGGTGGTGTACACCCGTGGTCCTGGCTACTCAGGAGGCTGAGGTGGGAGGATCACTTGAGTCCAGGAGATTGAAGCTGCAGTGAGCTGTGCTCGTGCCACTGCACTTCTGCCTAG